AGAAAACATTAAAATATCAAGTCATTGAAAAAGACTCAAAGTTTTATTTAAGTAGGACTTTCCTCACAAATTAGATCAGCCTTTCCAATTTATAAAGTTTTATGATATAAAACCTAAAGTGAACACTTATTCTTATAGTGACTCAGATATGATGGAGCCCAGCCATTTGTTGAAGTGACCATGGATGGCAGCCAGGAAATTGTGTAGTGGTATAAGAATAAAGGGCACTTTCATTATCAGCACAAGATGACATTGCTGAAATGCCAAAGACCAGGCATAATTAAGTGGGCTGATGGAACAGAATGACCAGGAGATGACTTTTAATTGGTATGATGCATGTTTACATCCACAGTTTCTATGTCTGTATGCATATGCACATATATATATATATATGTAAAATCTGGAATATACAAACTATATTTTAAAATGTCATGCTCAAATATTTCCTCTTAAAAACCCTTTTCACTAGTATCCAAACACCATCCAAAATATGAATAAATTGCAGGCCTATATTGTAGTGTGTATGTTTGTCTAAATTACATTATGTCTTTAATCTGTTGAATAATATGTAATTATTAAATTAATCAATAAATATTTGTTGAATCTGGGCATTGTATGAGGACCTGGGATACAATAATGAATTTGGCAATGAGAAACACCAATACAAGAACAGAGAGACAGAGACAGAGGAGGAGAGGCAGGAGGACGGGTTGGTAAGGAGGAGGGAGGGCGAGGAAGGAAAAAGTGAGACTTCCACACCTGGTTTCCAAAGCTAAATTCCAACCTAACGTAGTACAATGCAATAATTAATAAAAGAAATAACTTCCATTTGTTGTCTCCTATGTACCAAGCACTGTGGTAGGCACTTGACATATTTTTTATTTCTCCTAACAATCCTGCAAAGTAGGGATTATTATTCCCACTTCTTGAATTGAGGAAATAAAATGATGAAATTTAAGTAATGGGCCTAGGATCAAACCACTATAAGTGCTAAATCAGTATTAAATTCTACGGGGAGGGAGTATTGATGGTGATAAGATGACCATGATTTCCAGTTAAACATGACAAATTCAACATCTGCATTTCCCTCACCCCCTCCCAAAACACCAGTACAATGATAGTAAAGACCTTGAAAAGCTTAAATCCTTAGGAAAAAAGAGAACTAAATGAGAGCAAAAATAATAACAAATTTGGAAACTGGAAAGCAGATTGTTAAATGGCAATGAACTTGAGTAGACCACAAAAAAACTGGAAGCTAAGTGCTTATGGGGATGGGGTGGGGTCCCAGTAAGGCTCCAGAAATGGAGGCATCTGACAGCTCTGGGGCAGGGAGCATGTGACAAGGTGAAGTTTCCAACAGAGGATTATTGGAGAAATTCCCAGATTTTTTGTTCCTCACTCCAGCAGAGGTTTGGAGGATTCCACTCTGGGAAAATAGACTGGCACAACAGACTGATAGGCATTGATGTTGGGGGGTTGGGGGTCTCTTATGAAATAGCTGGGCCTTGCCTGGTCATCCTAGAACAAAACCTAGCTCTCTGCTCTCATCTTCTACCATGTCCCATACTGAACTAGAGTAGAAGCAACCCCACCTTATGAGAAAAAACTGGGATCTGACTGGTTACTTAACCAAAAAAGTTAAAACAAAGAATTGTGGAGTATTATATATACTAAACTTAGATACTTTATTCTAACCAGTTCAGTCTCCAGATTTTTACTGGAATGCCAATGCATTTCCTTTGCGGGAGTATCCATTGCTTGGAATTGCACTGTGTGTTTCTTGTGTAAACCACACCCCTAATGTAACCTTTCTAGTTTGTTTCTTTAAAACAGAATGGAAACTTAAAGACACATCTGAAATAAAATGACTGCAGAATCCTTCAAGATTTAAAAAATTCATTCCAGCTCCTCTCTTGTAGTGATTTTGTCCACACCTAATTAGCACTTTTAAAAGTTAGTGACTTTGAGGGGCACCTGGGTCGCTCAGTTAAGCATCCAACTCTTGATTTTGGCTCAGGTCATGATCTCAGGATTATGAGATCAAGCCCCACATCTACTTGTCCCTCTCCCTCTGCTCCTCCCCCTGCTCACGTTCTGTCTCCCCCCTGCCCCAAATAAATAAATAAAATCTTTTTTTAAAAAAGTTCATCACCTTTTGGCAAGCCTTTCCAAAGTATCCAACTTTGAATGTATTCTAGAAACTCTCTTAGTACTCAGATTTTAATTTATAAGAATAAATTAATTATGGAAATACAGTAACAAATGCACAGGCATAAATCATTTTGGAAATAACCATGATTTTCAGAGAACATTCTCTGCCTCCTTGGCCTGAGTTAATTGCCCCTTCTTGAAATGTCCCTCTCATGATATCATGAGCAATAGGGGATAGATTCCATAGATTAAACAGGACCGTGTAGGCCATGAGGAGGAATTTGAAATCAACTTTACAAACAATGAGAAGTAACTCATCTAATGGAGGAAAGCAATATCATTTGTGTTTTTAAAAGATCCTTCTAACAATGGTGTGGAAAACATATTTTGCAGGAGAAAGAGAGAAAGCAGGGTAACAGGAACTGTATAACATTAGTAAGAAGATTTGGAGTATATTTTGGAGATAGAGGTGTCAAGATTTGCTGATGGATTGGCTATAGAGAGTAGGGAGTTTTGGAATGACTTCTAGGTTATCCAAACTTGAGGGGGAATAGAAGTGGCATTTATTGAAAAGAGGAAAACTGGCAGGGGACAGGTTTGAATGGGGGAAAGGAACCGTTCTATCTGAGCCATGTTAAGTTTGAAAGGAGATTAGCTCTCCAAGAAAAGATGTTAGGTTGGTGGCTGGACGGGAGTTCGAGGTTCAGCAAAGAGGTCAGGGCTAGAGAGAGAAATTGGTTCTTATATTAGTTCCTTTGACTTTAACCTTAAACTTCTATTCCTTGTTTCATCTGCTTTGGGTAGTATCTCTTGGGTACTCATGTTAAATAAAGATATTAGTGGCCTTCTTTCTACTTCCCATCTTCTGTCAACTGTTGATGTGCTTTTCTTGTTAAGGCTAGTAACATAATTCTGTTCTGTACACACATTTAAAATTTCCATACTGTATCTATATAATGCTAAAAGTTGAAAACTACAAAATAGCATTTATAATATAACTATATGAATTTTGTTCACTTCAGGGCCAAATATTGTGCTGGGACTACGTTTTTTTCTTACTGTGTCCAAAGCCTGGTGCCACTTGAAAAAGAATGGTTCTAGTATTTGTGTTAAATAAACCCTCTTTTCCAACTAAAAAAAATTTTCCCCTGGAAACTTTGAAGACATAACTCCATTTCACTTTTGCATCAGTACTTCTTGATTCCATACTGATTCTTATTTCTTAGACAGTGACTAATTTTTCTTTCTCTTTATGGAAACTTACAGAATCTTCTTTTTGTAACTATTGCTTTGCAATTTCATAATGATATATAGGTTGTATCTTTTGTCCCTTCATACTTAGAAGCACTCAGTAGACTCCTTTAATGCCTCACTCTCTTACATTGGGAAACTTTTTTATTATTCTAGAGGCTGTGTTATTCTATTATTCTAGAGTACTGGTTTTAATTGGAGGTAGACTGAGTTCAAATACCAGTTATTTGCTCTGTAGCCTTGGGCAAATTATTTAAACTCTGTGCTTGCTTTCTTATCTGAAAAATGAGAGTATTAATAATATTACCATACTAATATATTCCTTAGGGTTGGAATGAGAATTGAATGAGCAATATTTAGGAAGTTCCATAAAGTGCTTGGCAAATAGTATGTGCTCAATAAGTTTTATGTGTTGATAATTATCTCCAGTTTCAGTTTTATTCCTTGCTTTTCTGGAGCTCCAGAAAAGTTGGACCTCCCAGACTGATTCTCCACTTTGCTTTTATTCTCTCATATTTTCTAGTTTTTTGTTGTTGCTGCTGTTGTTGTTTTATGTTCTGTGATGTTTCCTTGACTTTACCCTCCAAACATTAAAAAAAAATAATAATTTGGCATAATTGTAATCTTTGGCTGTCCATTCATAAACTAAGAATAGGATAAGAGATCAACTTGAATTACAAAAAAAAAGTAACTGGTGTAGTAATTGACTAGCTGGCTGAGACACTCGGCTCCACTAGTCTTAATGTTGGTGTAGAATAGAATGTTCATGACTGGAGTGATTATTTAAAAGACAGACTTTCAGGTCACCCTTGGATTCTCTCCTTGGATTCATTCTTGCCTTCTGCTTTGCCTGCTGACTGAGCCTCCAGCTACTTTGAGGTTCTTTCGGGTAGATTGGCTCTTTGCTGCCTTTCCCTCTATCTTTTCTGGAATATTGCTTCTTTGCTTTCTTTAATACATCAACAAGTTTTCATTCCTTCCCACACTGCAGAAAGTTCTTCTTTCCATTCTCTTCATCTTTATGGGTTGATTGCTTTACTATCACTTAATAGAGTCTTGGGAGGTGGGGGATTTAGATGTCTATGTTCAGTCTACCATCCTGAATCAGAAGTGCAAACTTCATTACCTTTCTAAAGGAGAGATCACGTTACAGATTATCTAACAGTCCTCTCCATTAACTACCCTTGAAGTGGAAATCATGCTGAATATGACCATTTTGTAATGCTCTGATCTTCAATCTACCTGCCCTTTGTATCCTTAACTAAACTGGCCAGATCACAGAGGCCTGAAGGCTAAAATTAAGTAAGGGACAGCTGACCAATAAAAGTAACCCTTTGTTATCTACTGTCATGTTCAGAAAATTATTTGAAGTTTAGCTTATGAACTTTTATATGGAGTGACAACCAGAGTGGGTACTCAATAAATACATTTTTGTTTCGACTTGATCCTGCACTTCTTTAAGACCTGCTAAATTCTACTCCAGCAGTAGAGATGACTAGAAAATGTGGTAGGAAACACATAGAAACTGACTAAATATGAAAGACTTAGTTTATTATAATAACGTTGTCAGGTAAATAACTTTAAGATCGGACAATGTTTTAACAGTCCATGTAACAGTATTTCCTACGTTGTTTTACGGGATACCAGTCATCTGAAATAATCTCCTCAAAAAAGGGTGAGGTGGTCAATACTGGGGAAAACAAAACATTCTTTATTCCTCTTCTTGGAATACATTATGCTTGTGCTTACAGTAAGGGTTTTAAGAGTTCTATGGCTTAAAACATCTGTTTGGCTTTATAAATTCAGTTTTTACAAAACTTATTTGACCACTTCCCTCTTTTTTTGAGCAGCATCTACAAACATCGGAAGGAACTAGTGTCCCTCAGAGTGTGCTTAGAGAAATACTGCCTACAATTTTACTTAGTTATACTTTTTAAAGTTTGGTGACAACAATAATGAGCAGAATGCTACTAAGTATGTGACTTGGAGGCTGGTGTTATCAATGATCAAGCCAATTTTTATTATGTTATAGTAAATATGTTTGGAGATAAGCTGTCCACCAAGAAGGGATAAAGAACAGACTTGTTAAGGGTTGCATTTGCTGTATGTGTATTTTCAACCCCTATAGAGAAGTAATTTTCTCAGGAGGTGTCAGTACATCTAACACACCTTAATTCAATAGCAGTAATGTGAGAGAATGGGAAAGAAGCTTTATCACAGCTAAACTTACCTATTCCACAAGAAGGCTTTTGCAACTTGCTGTGTTTGACTGGCAAAACCAATGGACATGCTGGTTTTTGAAAGTCACTCCTCTGGGTGCTCTTAGTGTCATAAGATGGTTGGAAGGGATGCTCCAGTCTTTTACCATGTGACCACCAGTCACCCTTTATGGGAAAAAAATTGGAAACACAAAATTGAATACCTTAGAACATTTTCATGTGCTGCTTGATGTCTGAATGTTCAGTGATTTGATTCAATAAGTTATTGGATATTCTAGTACTAAAATGGAATCCTGAGATCTAGGAATAAGTATATTTTTACAAAGACTGAATTTTTTAAAAGGTACTTAAAAGTGAATTATCACATATTTTTAGCTAAAAGATAGATGCTAAATTCTTAAACTACTTCCTGTCAACAGAAGTGGAGTGGTAAAAATCAAGTAGTTATATTTCTATATTTTGTACTACCATTTTATTATATATATGTACATACATGTATATATATGGCTTGATTTAATCTAAAAATTATGTTCTATACTTTTCATTATGAAAATACAAATAATGTATTATCATCTAAGATGGTGCTTTTCATAGTTTTCAGTCCATGATGCACACCGTGAAATAGACTCTGCCATGCAAGAACACACAATGCATACACAAACATAAAACTCAGTTTCACAATATTTATTCTTACTACATGCAGTACACTTGACTATTTTTCTATTTTATCATTTATCTCTTCCATTTCATTTCACAATGCTAGTTGCAAACCACAGTGCTTTATAACCCACCTAATGCCTCAGTTTGAAAAACTTTGTTCTAACAAAAAATATCTCCAATGTTACTGAATTTTTGATGGTAAAACCTGACTTAAGTACCCAGGAAAGGGAGAATTGATAGATTCTCCATGAGCATATATTAGAATCTGATCTCTTAGAAGTTGTGAAAACAGTGAGGGGAAACTTACTAAACTTAATTCTAAGTAAACATTTTTCTTTTAAATCTGGTTGATCAGGTAGACTTAAGACAACCTTGGGAAAGGGCAACTGTGACACCTGGGAGTTCTTGGATATTATTAGACAGTGAAAGAAACTTTAGGTATAATCGAACACCTACTTTGGGCTTTGAGGAGAGAGATCAGGCTTTTAAAAAATCAACCATGATTTTGTAGTCAGAGACTTGAAAAATATGATTCAAGGGGGATGAATATGAGATTCACATAAGTAAAATTCTGACAGTGCAATTGAAGCTACAGTGCTATGAAAAGTAAGAGGCATTTGAAGACATCTATCTGACTCCACAGGGAGTTAGCTCCCAAAGTAGCTTAGTTTCTAAAAACACAGGCATGTATAAAAGAGGTGTACAATATCAAATTAAAAAAAAATAATTTCATGGGGTCACCTTGTCAGGAGATTGTCAAGAAGCTTAGAAGAAATTCATGAAATATACCAAAGGCAGCAAAAATAGGGTTTTCTGGGAGAAAAAAAAATCTTAAGAAATCACAGAAAGTCTAAGAATTTGAAGAAGACTATGCAATTCAGAGCAAAAAATCAGAGCTCCTCAACTTAGGTTCTTCGTTAAGGGAAATTATCTTCAAGCTGAAAAAGACAGGATGAACGTGGACCTAAGAGGGAACTGAGCCCTGACTAATGTAAGAGAGAGTTAGACCTCACTTGGCAACTTTAAATGAGTGCTAGTTTTTAGGCCAATGACAAATTGTAACCCCTGGGTAATGAATACGTTTGCAGAGATCAAAGGAATTTAGGAACCAGGGAATTTTGGAGAACAGGAGAGATGGGCTGAAAGGTGAATTACAAAACTTAAGACTACTTGATGTCGATCCTGGGAATTCTAGAACAGATTACTAAACAGATGGTGTCTTCTCACTATCTGGCTGAAAATAGTCACATCTAACTGTTGTCAGAATGCCTGCTTCTTGCAGGCCTCCTCCACTGCACGATTATGATAGTGCTTATTATGCCTCAGCGTCTCAGATTTATAGGCCTTTTCTCACTTACCCTCACCATGATTCTGTGAGTAGATATACCCACTTTATAGATGAGAAAACTGCTGGGAGATTAACTTCCCCAAAGTGTATCCCTAGCAGACAACAGAGCTGTCCAAGTCAGACCCTTGCCTCCATCCATGCATGCCTCTAATTTCCGTGCTACATTGCTTTATCAAATCTGCTGTAGAATGCAAAGCCACAGAAGCACAAACCTACTTAAATTATTTCAGAAGTAACAATAGAGAGATTTTAAGTATCTTGAGAAAGAGCTTCTATGAAAAGGTTTTAAGGAGTACACTGTATATTATCTTCTTTTGTTGATCAGAAACTTATTTTGCTAACACCCAAGTTACCATGTAAGTGACTCTGGGATGAGCAAACTGCTAGCAAATGCCTGGCAGCATTCAATTATTTTTTGAACAAGAATATATTGCAAAAGTTACCCCAAAAGCAGAGATAATCAATTCACCTCTCAAGATTTCTTATGAATTTAGAATTTTACCAAATGGTCTCTTTAGTTTCACAAAATATAAAGGAAATAATTAACAATGTTTCCTCAAGTGTGACTGATGACTTGAAGACCTCAGAGCTGGGGAAGTATTCTGATGGGTGTTGTAAGTGGGATGAAGCTTCACTTCAGCAGAATGAAATCCTACAGTTCAAAAAATGCTGTTTTTCTGTTTTCTATTTCTGGATAGTCTGCCCTTTGCCTGAAGAGTCTGGTTTGTTCCTGGAAGAGTGAGAATGTATATGGGCCTGTGCACATGTACATGCCATGTTGGTACAAGCATTTGCTCATAAAAGATGATAAGATTAAAGAGATAGGTGAGAGCTTGTTTTTTTCCTTCACTCCATGTTGAAGGGAAAGACTAAGTATAAAAATTTACTGCACCATCACTTGAAGTGGATTGTGAGGGGTTGATATGAATTATTTATGATGAAATAAGCCAAACTGGGAAAAGTTTTCTACTGTGATTGCTTTGTCTAGGCTTTGGGGGTCAGTCCAACTCTTGCAGATTGTGGAAGGGGTTTTGCCTAAAGAGGTAGTTGATCTCAGTTCAAAACTTTGGACCCAGAGAAAGCAGGATGCCTCCCCTTCTAGCCCAAGACCGGTCTTTCCTGCTTCAGGATAACAGTCATTGCAGCTCCATGGTATGGAGACATCTAGAGATTCCTGAGGAAGAGGCTCCCACTAACCCCCACCCGTGGAAGACCTGATGGCCATTATACTGTGAACTCCTTAGCCACCTTTGGAAACCACTGTGAGGCGGTCTTTGTTATACTTCTGCTATCTCTAAGCCTTCAGAAAGGCATTGAGACATTAATTAGTTTTCATTCTTTGGGAAATTAAGGGAGAGTCTTGGGCGGAGAAGTAGTAAAGGCAATTGGGGCAACCTGGAGAAGCCAGTTAAGAGAATGCAAGAGGTGGTAGGTAGAACTCCACGGCAGCCTGACAAAGACGGCTGCCACTGGGGGCGGTCCTCTGTGGAACACAAAATCCTCCTTGGGGGATTCCTAGGGAAATACGGACTTTTGACAACACTTTACAGAGAATCACGTTTTATTAGGGGAGCTCAAAGGCTTTAAAACATTGAAGTGTTATGGGAAACACTAGAGGTACATTGTATCTATGTTCATCTCTATTTTGCTGTGGATACTGGGAGTGCTGAAAATACCTCTTTTTAAGCAACCCATAATGTCCCTGATAAGTTATTCCTAAATTGTGTTCTGTGGAATACTAGTTCTGTGGCATATTAACAGGTGTTATATAAAAAAAGTTTCCAAAGTTAAATAAATTTGGGAAATACTGAGGTAAGTAAAGTGAAATAAGTTTATCACAGGATTTCTTAGAACCTTTCTATACAAATGGGATTTGTGAAGCTTTAAGATCTAAATATATAGCTTTTCCAAAATGTATTGACTTTGGAATGTTATTTTATTGAGCACATAGGCAGGGCTAATGCTCTGAAACGTATACTTTGGAACATAATGACCTAGTATAATCTCTTTTAAAAACACAAGACCACCAAACTCTTGTGATTGGCAGTGACCGAGCTACAGCTTTTTTACTTTTTCTGGCACCCCCAATTTTATGTCCCTATATAGAACTGTGTGGTTGTTTTATTTAAATATCTTGTAAATAAGTAAAACCAACCAATCTGGTGTTAGGTTCTTAAGCTGTTATCTTAGCAAAACACATAGGAGAGCAGATGTGTCACTTTAAATATTAGGCAACATTATTTTCTTTACTCTTGCATTAAAGCCAGCACTACTCTAAACCAGTTAATTTTTTAAAACAACCAAACTAACCTTTAAAAAGAAACCTGTCATCTTAAATAAAGGAACAAAGTGTACAGATACGTGAAAGGAGCGTTCTTTTATTACTCCTCGAGTCCATGGAAGTGAGTACACTTATATTGCTGTTTTTGTTTTTTAAATATGAACAGTGCCTTCACTCCACGCCCAAAACAAATACACTCTTAACTCTGTGATGCATCTTCAGTCTTTCTTTATACCTCCTCACTCATGTCCACCAGCAGCCTCTCTTCCCTGTCCTCTTACTTCATCTCAAACTTCCTTTTACCATCTCTTAAAGGTCCCTGACTCAGTTAGCCTTTAGTACCCATAAACAAGGATCCTACTGCTATTAGGTTGCCCCATAGGGACAGCAGCTCCTAATACTACCTTTCTCAAGACACCTATCAACTAAGAGTAAGAGAAAAGTAGTTGATTGATTTTTTGAGATTTTTACATTTTATATCTCCATTCTAAAACCCATTTCTTTTCCTTAGTATCTCCAAGGTAAGGGTGGGTTCAGTTAACAGGTTTTTTTTTTGTTTTTGTTTTTGTTTTTTAAACAGTTAGGTTTTAATTCAGCCCTGACTTAGAGCTCAGGAAGTCATTCATTAACTTTTGTAAGAAACATGGGAACTTCACTAACCTGGATTTCTGGACCAGACTTATTTCCCCATTTTAGGCCTGGACTATCAATATCTTTTAAATCCCCCAATAATTGCTTATTTATAAAACAAAATAGCCTTAAAATTGCCCACATGAAGTTTTATTACATGACATTAATGCCTATATGACTACATTAATTCCTGCCCCAAGAAGATCTCCCATTCAAACACAGTGACCTGGTATGTTATCTATTTTAAGATAAGAACATTGGATGTTACTGATGTGAAGATAGGTTGCTAAAAGCAATCTCCATTTAAATATTAAATCACAACTACACATAAACACACATGGCAAAAGGAACTTTGCAGCTGAGATTAAGTTAAACATCTTGGGAAGAGGACATTATCCAGGATTATCTAGGTGGGCCCAATGTAATCGCACCCATCCTCGGAAGAGGGAGAGAGTCAGAGAAAGATTTGAAGACGCCATGCTGCTGGCTTTCAAGAGGAAGGGGCCACGAGCCAAGGAGCGCAGGCAGCTTCTAAAAGCTGGAAAAGGCAAGGAACTGGATTTTCCCTTAAATCCTCCAGAAGGAAACCAGCCCTGCTAATAGCTAAGGAGACTGATTTTGGACTTCTGAGCTCAAGAAATGTTGAGAATAAATTTGTGTTGCTTTAAGCTAGTGTTTAAATTTGTGGTAATTTGTAACATCAGGAACAGGAAACAGAATAAATTATACCTCAACAAACCTAAGTTTAAAGAAAGAAGATAATGAAATATATTTTAGTACGATAGAGAATAAAAGTGTGGTTTGACTAAACCAACAGTCCTGGGTCAGAAACACGACTGTGACATTTGCTCACCATGTCATCTCATCATGATATGTTATCGTCTGTAAAATATTTCTAATACTAACCCCTAAAAACTGTTGCACAGATTAAAGCATATAACTTATATAAAACACTTAGCTCATCCCTAGCACTTCACACACTTTAAATAAATGGTAGCTATTATTTTATAGAGAGTATCATGGGAATTTTTTATATTAGAATATGTGACACAAATACAATATTATAGATTTCTTCAGTACCTGCCAAGCACTACTAAGTGGCCATAATCTGACTCAATCTAGAAAAATGGTTATTTGGATTCTTTCCCTTTTTATATATTGTTTATATGCAATAGTTACTTGGGAGAATAGTCTCAGGTTACTGCTTTTAACTACTGGATTATAAAAAGTATTAGTCTGAAATATGTCACATCCTTTATGTAGTCTGTGACCAAATTATCCTGCAAAACAGCTTCTGAATCTAAATCTGTATTTGTATATAAGGAACATCCATCCAACCTGCTTTTCTGGCCCTTTTTTGGGATCTATGTAGGGAACTGGTTCATTGAATGTTCTTGCGTTTGTATGAATGAATTTCGCATAATATACACGTCCTCTCCCGACACATGGTTTTGAATGTTGTATACTTTTTCCAGGTTTTTTGTCATGTTTGATTTCTTCTTTTTTTTCAGTTACATACACTATACCAGCATCTTCTATTTTATGCTCTCTGAAAAACAGAATTAAATAGTAAGTAATGTATCCCAATGAGCATTTTAGGACTGTGTCGTAATTGTATAAAATAAAATTTAAATATATTTCAAGTATCAGTCAAGACAATTTAGGCTTTATTAATAGTTATAAGGGACTTGTGCAATTAAAATATGGAAGGGTATCTTGTCATTTTAAATCATATAAAAGATAAAGGGATTTGTGTTAATAATGATTATTCATAACAATACACCAGTGCATTGTACAGACTTTCACTTGCTTGGAATAAAAAAAGAGTAGTGATTTGATCATGGTTACAGATCCTGTTTGCAGCATTTATTCATGAAGGTGAGTTACATGCTAATCTTAACTCATCTTCTTTAAAAGTTAGTTACTTAAGGGGTGCCTGGGTGTCTCAGTAGGTTGAGCGACTGACTCTTGATTTTGGCTCAGGTCATGATCTTGGGGTCCAGGATGGAGCTTGACTCTTGATTCTGGCTCAGGTCATGATCTTGGGATCCAGGGATCCAGCCCAGCGTCAGGCTCCGTGCTCAGTGGGGAGTCTGCTTGAGATTCTCTATCTCCCTCTCTCCCTGTCCCTCCTTCCCTCACCCTACACACATACTCTCTCTCTCTAAAATAAATGAATGAGGGCGCCTGGGTGGCTCAGTTGGTTAAGCGACTGCCTTCGGCTCAGGTCATGATCCCGGAGTCCTGGGATCGAGTCCCACATCGGGCTCCCGGCTCGGCGGGGAGCCTGCTTCTCCCTCTGACCCTATCCCCTCTCATGCTGTTTCTCTCTCTCTCTCTCTCTTAAATAAATAAATAAAATGAATGAATCTTAAAAAGAAAAGTTACTTAGTAAATTCAGTCACCTGGACAAGGATAGCTATTTAATTTTAAAAGTTCACTTGGCAAAACTTATAAAAGCTACCAAATGACCACTATTATTTACCTTTTCAGGAAAAGACCACTGTGTAGGCCTGAGAAAAATCAATTCAATCTCATCACTTTTTGCTTTTAATAACTAGACTGGTACCAAAATGAACATTATTGAATTTTTTTAAATATTAAAAAATGTTTAGAAAGAATTTATAGAAAGTTTCTCTTTTAAATAAAGAGTGACAGAGATTATAAAAGGCAGTATTTTAAAATTTCACATTCTTGGAAAATAAAGAATGAAATAGAGGAATGTGAATCATCATTAAGTAGCTACCTGAGGAAGCATCCTGTTCATCACAGGTAAATGGACCGCCATTACAGTATTTGCATATTTCTGGTGAATCTGCTGGGATTGTTTTTTAGTCTGGCTTAGTGTAGCTGTATACTCCCAACCCCCACTCCAGTACACATACAAACAACATTCAGCACCCTTGGATTCCAGCTCCCTGCAGCCCCAACAAAAATTGCTCTCTGTAAAGGTTTTGGAAAAACTGATTACTGGTCAAGTGTGAATAACTTCTAAGGCTTTTTCTATTACCTTAAAAAAAAAAAACATATCTCTGGAAAGGTCATGATCAATTTATTATATACATCTGATATCAATTTTTTCCATCTGCTCCTCATGGTTGTAACTCAGCAATACACTTGCACTAGCATCACATCCTTGAAGGAAGGTCCGACTGTGGCTATATGCTTGCTTACATATGCATTTGTTCAATTAAGTATTGTGGTGTGAGTAGTTATAGATTAACACATAAATGTGAACTATATGATTCTGTAGTAATTTCTTACTAGAAGGAAATACAAAAACACTAATGGGCAGTGAAGAAAGTTAGACCTGGGTTGGAATCCCAACTCTGCCATTTAATATCTGAGTCTTGGTTTCCTCCTTTGCATGATAAGGGCAAGAATGCCTATTGAGAGAGATGTGACAATAACATTGAATAATTCATTCTTTCAACAGATATTTATTGAATTTTGTGCCTGGTGCTGCTCGGCACTGAGGATAGGGGAGTGACAAAACAAAAATTCCTGCCCTCACAGAACTTACATTCTAGTGAGGGAAGGCAGATGGAGAAATCAAATAATAAGTAAAACATACAGTCTTTTGGATGGTGTTAAGTGCTGAGGACAACAACAGAGCAGGGAATGGGGAAAAGAAGTGTATGTATGTGGGAGAGAGGCTGCATTTTTAGACAGGGTGGAGGCTGCATTATGAAGGTGGCAACTGAAAAAAGGAAAGAGGGGAGCGAGCTAAGAGGATATTTGAGGAAGGGTGTTCTAGCAGAGTGAACTGTAATTGTCAAAGCATTGCAACAGAAGCACCTGTCCTTAGGTGCTTCTCAAAGTATGGTCCCGGAAGTAGCTGCATTGACATCAATTTACCTTGTTAGAAGCACAAATTCACTGGCCCCATCCCAACCTGAGGCAGATTCTCAGGAAACTGTTTTAACCAGCTCTCCAGGTGATTCTTATGTATGTTGAGAACCACTGTTCAGTGACAAAAATATAGGCTTTGGAAGCAGATACCCCTGGCCATGTGGTATTAGCTGTAACACCTTGGTCAATAGTTCTTAAAATTTAGGGTACATCAGAATCACCTGGAGGCTTCTTAAAACCCAGATTATTGTTCTCAACTCCAAATTTCTGATTCAGTATATCTGTGGTGGGGAGCCTGCAAGAATATGCATTTCTAATAAGTTCTCAGGTGATGCTGGATGGGCGGGAGGGAAGCACACTTCGAGAATCACTGCTGGAGCCAAGTGGAGTGGGAGGGCAAGCGGTAAGACCCAATAAAGGAAAAGGGGCAGTTTGTGTAGGTCCCACAGGCCACTGTAAGGACCCTAGCTCTTACTCTGCAAGGGCCAATGGAGAATAGTGATCTAACCTACGTTAGATCCGCTTGCCTCTCTGCAGCCGAGGCTGTTAACAACATCCAAGTAAGAGACGCTGGTAGCTGGGCGAGGGTGGGGATTATACTGGAGTTCTGGATATATTTTAAAAGTAAAGGCTACAGAATTTTCTAATAATTTAGATGTAGGGTGTGAGAAGGAGTGGATGATTCCATGGGACTTGAAGAATGTTGGGCCAGATGCAATGCATGTAAAGTGCCCGACACACAGTGGGTGCCCAGTAAGTGTTTTAAAAATATATTCCGGTAAGCGCGCTCGACTACTAGGATGGAAGAGGAGAAGCTCTAATGATGGCCCGAGGACCCACCCCTCGGGTCTCACTTCACCCTCCCCGAAGGAAGGAAGGAAATATTTTCAGAAGGGGAAAGAAAACCAAACCCCAGCACTTACTGCTGCTTATCCTCCTTTACCTCCATGGGCTCCCACGGCCTGACACGAGGCAGCGAGGAGCCTCACGGGAAGATCTGGGACTAAGCCCTGCGGGGAAAGGGGCGCGCGGAGGGCCGCGACTGTGATTCGCAAGTTGCTAAGCGACGGCGGGCTCCCGGCGCGCGGCCTCGGAAAGAGGCTTGGGGGCGGAGCCGGAGCGCGCAGGCGCAGTAATCCGGCTCGGCCCCGCAAGCTAGCGGGTGCGCCCGCAGGGCCAAGCAGGGGCTGGTGGTCGGATCTCTGGGCGTCCTTCCCGGACCCGCCCCAGGCTGAACGATATGTGTTTGAACTTGGCCTTTCTTATCGGGCCGGGCTGAGTGTTTATTAAGGCCCACTTTGGCCTTGGGGATCGGCAAGGGGCGGTTCCCAGAGCCTCCCCCGCGGCCCGCGGCCCTCGGCTCTGGTGCTGGAGGCTGTACTGCCTGCGTCCCCGCAGAGCCTGGCAGGAGGCCTCCCGGCGTTGCCCACGTCTGCGGCAGCTGGCTCCAAAAGTGCACGCAGGCAGGAGAGAAACTTGTTTACGTGAACCGTTAAATACTGTGCAAGTCATGATTCGCTGTTCCTGGGCTGACTAGTCTTTACTTGAAAAAGCTTGGCTGTCGCTGTTCTCCACGATTTCTGGCCAATCTTCCTTCCCCGGCCGGCAGCAAGCATTAAAATAGAGCAAGGGAACACTCATCTCCTGCAAACGAGACTCCCCGCGGTGTGTGCATCTGCTCCAGCTTGAATGGGGTTCAGAATCGGGCGGAGGGGACGGTAGGCTTTGGCAGCAGGTTGGGGTTGGTATTAGTAGCGCTTATCCAAAAAGAGCAAGTTGATGACTTGCGTCCACCTTCTGGCCCCGGATTTTCTTACCTCATTTCACCATTGCTTCCCAGTTTCCACTACCAGAGCCAAATGTCTTTGGAATCAGCCATGGTAACTCTTGCACTTGCCTGGATAATGGGAAAAGAAAAATCCTTATTGAGTTGAATTCTGCTGTATAACCAAGCTATGCATGTGCGCATGTTTTGTAACCCAGAGCCAGTATTAGTATGTATTTACATTTACCTGGAGTAATGTGGAGAGAGTTGAGTTTGGTCGCCGGACTCATTGTACATACGTGAGCTTAAGTCCCTCCTCTGAGGAAGAAGAATATATGAATAGAAGTTTGATATCTAGTTACCTACACAACTGAGTTGGTAAAAAGAGTGGAGTGTGTGTAAATACGTGTTTGGGGAATAAGGATTGGGTGGGTAAATACGTATGGGGAGAGCGGGTTGAAAACCCCAAAATGGGGGAACTAACAATTGAGCTCCTGCTTGAGAGCCAGGCCTTTGTTCAGCACTGTATTAAACACCACATACTTATACCTGGTTTTATCCTAGTCATCAGTCTCTGGGAGCATAGGCCTTCGGCACAGTCGGTATTTGAATCCTTGTTCCACCCCTTAGTAGCTGCTTCAGTTGGGCAAATGATCTATTATCTCTGAGCTTCAATGTCTTCATCCACAAAATGAAAATATTCTTAAGGTTGTCCTCAGGTGTGGATGATTTAATACAGGCAGAGTACTGATGGGGGGTTGGCATACTCATGGTCAGTCCTTGGTCATTATTAGCTCGGGTTTTGATTGAGCAGTTTGATGTGATATGCTACCCCATGTCTTTAAGACTTAGTCAACTCTCTCGTCAGTCCCTCTAATATTGATTCCATCCTTCACCAATCTCTTCAAGCTCCTAAAACCACTCACCTTCAGGGACATTCCCAACTGCTTGCTGTGAATAAATGAGGAATTTCTCAACTTTGTCCCTTTCAAAACAAATTCACCTGCATCCATACAAAATGAAAGTTGTTTGGTTCTATTTTGAGTCATGTAGTATAAGACTAAAATCTAAATAAATATATTTATGTCAATCTCTTTCCAATTGTTAAGCAGTTCATATATATGTAGATTTATTGAGGGATGTTAGAAGCATTTTAAAAAGATAATTATGCCTACCACAGAAAAGTCACAATCTAGTTAGGAATACAAGACATACATACTGAAAAAAAATGTGAACAATGATACACAACAGTAGTATGTAACTGATTGTCATAAGTGTCAAATTTCAGTACTGAGGATAATACAGTATTATAAAAATGTGCCAATTATTTGAAAATGCCCATTACTTATGATTGGTACATCCTCTGTAGGGCACTGCAAAATAATGTGGATTTTAATAGTGACTTTTTAATGTAGAAAAAGCACTGGAATGTTAGTTTTTTCTACTACTAACCAGCTACTCTGACCTAGGAGAAACACTTAAACCTGTCTGCTGTAGATTCTCATTTGTTTAAAAAAAAAAAAAAAAAAAAAAAGGTAGATGAGATCATCTTTATGATCCCTTTCAGCGGTAAAATACAGTGATTCTGGGTAATCTATGTCTGAAAATCAGTGAACACACTAGCCTCAATAATACATGTAATTTTCTCATGTTAGGTAGTTTGGATTCTTATCAGTGAAGAATAATTCAAAGTGGCTTACTAATAATGTGCAAGTTAAAAATACTAGTGCTGTTTGAGCTAGAACACCATATGTGAGGAAACACAATAGGATAGAAATTGCTCATCCGAAATGTTATAGATGCAGAAAATTGTCAACACTTTTTTCAAACCATAGGAAAATGCCAAAAATAATGAAGGTACAGTTGTATAACCTGATAGGAAAAGAGAGTCCAGCTTCCTCTCAGTTCTTTATTCAGTGATGTGATACCAGTGAGGAGCTCAAGAGTATGGCATCAAGTCAAATCTATCTCTACTTTTATTTTTTTAAAGATAGTTTGTTTTCCTCAATGATAGGTATTGTAAAGGTAAATGAGAAAATACAGAGAATTTACCCTGGCACATAGTAAGCACTCATTAAAACTTAGCTGTTAGTATTCTTCCTGTTTTTATAATTAGTAGGGTAGACAGTCCATCAAGTACATGTATTATATTGTCATTTTTTTCATTGTCTTTACTTCATTACTTTAGACTAAGAAATTTTTTTTAAGAGTTGATTTATTTGAGAGAGAGAGAGAGGAGCAGAGGGAGAGGGAGCCCCAATGTGGGGCTCGATCCCACGACCCTGAGATCATGACCTGAGCCGAAATCAATAATCAGCCGCTTAACCGACTGAGCCCCCCAGGCACCCCTTAGACTAAGAATTTTATCAAACCAAAATATACATTAATTTGAGGGCAATGGGAATGAAAAATGTTAGGTTTGCTTATCTTTGAAGATTAATAGTTTCAAATGAATTACAGATAGGAAAGGAACCCCGAGTTTTCCTCTAGTCTAAGTTCAAAACTAATTGATTTATATTGTACTTTTAAGAGAGAGAAAGATTAAAAAAAAAAAAAAAAAAAAAAGAGAGAGAAAGATTATAAAACAATATGAGGTGTGACATCTCTTAAAAGTCTCTAGTATAAATCATGTAGATCTCTCTGATACAAGTGATCCTGGATATATGCATGAACATGTTTATATTTGTTTAATGTATACATAAAAATCTTAAAAATTTTATGAGATCTCTTGAAATCACTAAAGCAATCACAGGCGGCCTGGGCTACTCCAAAATCATTGTTAGAAATCATGAGTTTGGCAATTTACTCCATTGAAGAAAGAAACCTGTATTTTATGATTTTGGAGCATTCTAGTCACCTCTATAATTTCATGACTCAAGGTTTATTTTAAAATAATCCACCTATGGTATCTTACATAGAAGCTGCATAACCAAAGGATGAGCGAAGGTGGTCCTAGGCAGCTGTTAGTAAAGGACCATGTTGGTACTATAGTGATGTCCTCAATAGAGTGGTCATGTAGTAAAGATTTATTGAATGAATAGCTATGGACATACTACTTCTTGAGAAAGGAATACAAAATGAAACACGGTTGAGGTGGTTACCATTCCCCAAAAGTTAGGAATCCCTAGTCTAAGCTGTCTAGTTTTGAGGGTTTTCTGTCTTCTAGCATATTTGCTAGAAGGGGGGACTGCTTTCCTTGTTTTCTATGAAGAATTCCAGAGATGTAGTAATGACTTGCAAGGAAGATGATCACATCTTATTATCTAATTATTGAGCAATCCAACATATATTCCACACCTTTTGTGTTCTGGCCTCTTCTTGCTGGACCATGAGATTCATAGTTGATTCATTTAGGGTTCTCAGCACCCAGGAAAGTGCCTTGCAAACAACAGGTCCTATCAATGAAATTATCAATGAAATTAACCCAGAAAAAATACCCAGAAAATACAAAATATATTGTACTACTTTGAGCTTTTCAGTGTTTTTACTGGACATAGGTAGTAATTGTTCAACAACTCCTTAGAGAATCTCCGCATTTTAAAAAGGGTAATTAAAACTACCTTCTAAACTAAGCAACTTAAGTTCTTAAATTTCTGCCCAATAAAATCAACCTTTGATCCCTTTGATGATACAAATTACTATTCCCTGTACTTGCCCTAGCAGAGGAGAACTAATGTTTATTGAAATTCAGGGTTAGAGCTGAGCTTAAGTCCTAGCTCTGTTTTTAAAGCTCTGTGACTCTGCATAACTTAGTTAAATTCTTTGAGCTTTAGATTTGGACTATGTCTCTTATTAATCTTTAAAAAATAAATGAATAGTGCTCGCTTCAGCAGCACATATACTAAAAAATGAATGAATAAGATCCCAAAAGAGTAGGGATGAAAGAACTTACCTTGTAGGGTTATTGGATCAAATAAGGAAAGCGTAAAGCGCCTTACACAAAGTAGGCACCCAAAAAGTACCATTTCCCACTGCCCTGCCCTAGCCTTAACTGTGGTGGAAGCTCACCCAGCTGGAAAGAGAAACAGCGAGGATTTGTTTTTAGATCAGTCTTTTTTATACCTCAGTGCCTTTGCCTAATGTTTCTCTACCTCTTGTTTAAATCGTGCCAATAAAAATGGAACATAAAGTTCAAAATAGGGTGTTCCTAATGTCACTATGGTGTGAGAATGGGTAAAAATAACTAGAAAGAGTAAACCCAGCAGATGTTTCAGGAGTGGACTCCTTCAAAACAGGAAGGCTCTGATAGGGGAGGAGAACATAATAACCATCAGAGATTGGG